GGATGGTGGGAGGTTGACTAGTACGGGAGCATGGGCATTGCGGGCAGGTAGGCACCTGTGTGGTTTGGGTTTTGCTACTTATTAGCTGTACCTTGTCAAGGTACTCTGCCAGTATAGCCTCTCATTCTTAATTCCATCCACATCATTGCAATGGGGATAATTCTGTCTTTTTTTTTCTTGTGCTAGGGATTAAACTGAGAACTTTTGTACTGAGCTACATCTCCAGCCCTTTTATATATTTTATTTTGTGACATGTTCTGAGTCTCTAAATTGCTCAGGCTGGGCCTGAACTTGGGATCCTCCTGTGCCTCAGCCGCCCAGAGTATTGGGATCACACCTGTGCTATCAGCCCTGCAGGATAATTATAATTAGTCGATCAGTTGTGACAACTGTGTGAGGGGATAGGTGTCAAGTGCCTGGTCCTGTGCCTGGCTTAGCCCTCCATGAATACTAGCTGTCATTTTTACTAGATGTTTGGCTAGGTGTTTGGTTAATGGAGAAGAATGTAGGAGAAACCATTTCTTTGGCTTTAAGAGTAGGATAATCAATGATACGGAAAGAGAAAAGTCACAGGGAGAGGTGGCTGGAGGAGGAAATGGTATTATATTCTGTTTTAGATATGCTGAGTTGGAGACCCTGACAGGAGATCCAGGAGGGAACGTGTTAGGTGCCAGGGTAAATAATGCGTGAACTATACTTGGCTAGACTTATATTTTTCTTTTGGTGCAGATTATGGTTTCAGGAATGTCTTGTATTTCATTCTTTGGTAGCTCTGGGGTTTCTGACAGAGGTGTTTTACCTTGATTTCCATTCCAATCAGCCTTTGACTGCTGTCAGTGGTCTGGGCCCCAGCGAGTTGGGGATTTATCTCCCTCATGGCTTTTTTTCCTCACTTCAGATTTTGTTGAAATTTTGAGAAAGCAGTTTGTTTTGCTTTTTAGCCATTTCAAAGTTCATCTTTTTTTCCTCTGTGCAGAAGCTGATGTGAAATTGGGGTATTAATGGGCAGTATTTAAAGAAGCTCATTTATGGGCAATTAAATAACATGCTTGTCAGCCTAGATATGATAGGGAGTAAGAGTATTTTCTTTTTAAGTACAATGAAGTTTATATTCCTTTTCCTTTTGACTCATTATATTATATGGAAAACACTTTAAAAAAATCTATATTGCTTCTCGTATGTATTGAGGGGAGTTGGAGAGGGAAAGAAAGGCAGGAGATACGCTGAAGTATATTTGTTTTGTTGATTTCGTGTAATTTTTAGTTTTTTATATCAGTAGTTTAGCTGTTCCAAGCACTGCAGAGAGAATAATCGTAGCTGATGCTAAAACAAGCTACTCTCTAGATAGTAGCTAACATCTCAAATATTGCAGAACAGCAAAATACTAACAATAGTAGCTCCTTTTGTGTTTGCAGGTCAGAAGTTGACCAAAACTGTCATGTATCCTGGTGCCCAAAGAGAATACCATTTCACACAGGCTATTTACAGAGAGCTGTTAGACGAGAAGGGTATAGGAAAAGACTCTCAACCTACGCTGTCTTGTAGAATAGGTTCATAATCTCCATCTAATGCTGTCTGTTGTCTTTATAAATAGATTTGAATACCTTGTATATAACTAAGACTCACTGGGTATTTGCTTATAATTGCATATGCAAATGTATAATGGCCAGTGGAATGGAAGGAACTTGTTTTGTTTGCCTAGTAAAGTTAATGTTACACAACATGGAAGAAAACTGCCTGGCATAGGATATTTAAATGGGACTGTTAAAATGAATGGATGGGAAAAAGGGCAGAAAATGAGAGAAATGAATGAATCATGAAAAATATGAGAACTTTTGGGAATTAGGTAGGAATAGAAAGCATTGAAAAAGTGGGTGATGGTAGCAGCTCTGAGAAGAAGGCCCTTTGGTAGCAGCCAAAGCCTTGCCTGTTAGTAATTCGGTATGGATCTCAGCATGAAACTTAGCTGCCAGAGTCAGAACTTTTTTTCACAGTCTACAGATGAGGTAGGAAGAGAAGTTGATATATCAAGGAAGCTGAGGCTAGAATAGGAGAATGAAAGTATAATTTCATGTTCTAGGAGGAGAAAACGACAGCTCAGGAGATCAAGGCTTCCTCCACCTCTGTATCTGTTCCTCAATAGGATGAGAAGATAAACTGCAGAACTGTCCCTCTGGTTAATGAAAAGTTCTACAAAGCAGGCCAAGCTGATTAACTTGTTTATGTGAGAGAATCCTCCAGGGATGCCATCTCTCATTGCGTAATTTCCTATCCTGCATTGGAGGGGGAGCAAATCGTGTGGAGAAAAACATAAGAAATTAGAAAGTACTTGAAGTAGTCACAAGTAATAGTCTGTTCCACATAAGTGTAGATTGAAGTGGTCGAGACCTAATAATAAGATTAGTAAAAGATTGTTTTTGGATTTATTTCAGTGTGAGAAAGAATGGGCATCAAACTAGAGCTTCATTGCAGCCAGTAGATGTAGTCAGAGTTGAGGCCTTCCCAGCAAGGGCAGAGGTTGAATCTGTCTGGTAAGCATTCTTGAATTAATGAATAGAGTGGGCATACATGTTTGCTGGGCTTCTTTCTAAGCCCATGGGCAAGAAAGAAAAAGTTCATTAACCACTGTAGTGCTGAAGCATGAATTAGGTGGCCATCAGTGGTGGCATTTTCCTGTGAATATGATGAGACAGTGGACAGTGCATTTATTGGCTGCCCCACTTTTGTCCTTTGGGAATGTCTATAGAGAACAGAATAAAGCAGAGTATGGAGGGGAACAATGACATTCTGAGAATCAGGATACTTACATTCTAGTGCTATGTCTTTTAGTAACTTCTAGCAGTGGGCAAATCCCCAGGCTGGAAGTTTTCTCAGACTAGATAAGTTATTTTTTAAGAGCTCAAAGGAGATGAGAAAAATCCTGCTTAAGTGAATATACCAGAATCACTTGGGGCCTGGAGATCTGAGGTGGGAATATGTGGGCTCTGTGGGTGTCTTTGTCCAAATGAGGGTCAGTGCTTTAGTGAACATTTTTGCTAATAAGGTGTTGTCATATCACTTGACTGATGTGTGGGGAGGAGTTGAAAACCAGTGGATCAGATCATCGCTAAGGACTCTTCCAACCTTAAAATTTTAGGTTTCTAGGAAATGGAGCTTAGGCTTGGATGCCTTTGATGAAGCCATTGTATTTGCCTGGCTGCTGTATAGCTTCTGTACTTTAACAAAGGAATAAAGATAGTGAAAAAAATAATTGTAGACCTGAAACTTGCTGAAAATATTTAGGAATTCATGACTTAACAGTGGCAAATTCTGGGGAGAATCACAAAACTTGTTTATTAAATGGGGTAGACTATTTTGGCAGAGTCTTGGGAGAATTGACCTCAGACATGAGATACTGCAGTTCTATTTGTGTTGGTTTAGTCCTTGTTCCTCGGGGTAGCTGTTTTATTAATTTAGTGCTCAGTTATTCATTTCTCCTATGAACTTGATTTCATCCCTTCTTGTTACCGTCTGCCTGCCTTCTCCCACCACCCGTCCTCGCTCCTCTCCTTCTATTTTAGCAAATACATTCTTGGGAAAATGCTCTTGGCTTGCTTTATATTATTATTAAAAATATTGTTCTTTTCATTGTTAAATATGTTAACAACTAAAATCCAGACAGAGGTACCATTTGAGCTCAGAGTTGCTGAACAAAAATTTGGTATAACTAGTTCGGGAAGCAGCACTATACATTTGGTGGCGGTTGAAAGTAGAATTTAACTTTTTCTTTTGCTAAACTTTTTACTGTCTGCGGCTTTTGTTTTTTTTCTTTTATGCACCCTAAGAGGCACTAAATTGAAGACAGTCATCACTTAATAAATGGTTATCAGTAGTCTCTTCTTGACCCTTTATGCTTTCATGTTTTTAGGGAACTTTTTTATCACCTTGTGGTTGAGTGAGGAGAGAAGATATAAATTTCTTTGGTAGCAGGTAGCCCCTCCTAAGGAGGCTCTGAGGAAGAGAGATAACATCTTTGATTAAATGGAAAGGCTAGAGCAGAGGTCCCTGAAATCCTTCTAAAAAAATCACTAACACTTTCATTATTCTCTGGGTATTCTAACCTATCAATCATACTACCTATTTTTTCCATTTTTTAGGATGGGAAGACCAAGCATTCTTCCTTAGTAGGCTGCATTTCCTCCAGCAAGATCCATTGTCTTCCTTTTAAGGTGGTAACAGAAGTGTGCTGCAGTAGTCATTACCTTTTTGGATGGGGAGTCAGGCCATGGAGGGGGGGTCACGATGGATATGTAGCTGTAAAAGCTCCCCCTCTGCACTCTCCGTCCTGAGATTCATTTTTCACTTTGGTTCCTTTCCCTCCATCCCTTGTTACTCCATGGAAAACCAGTGGGCACAGCCATTTGCAACGTAGTGATTCATTATGCTAGGGAAGCTAGGATAAGTTGAAGTGGTTGTTATAAACATCTAAGTTGAAATCTATTTTGTACAAAGCAAAAACGGTGTTTGCATGCACCAAGGGAAATGCAGTGGTAGAAATTGCTGTACAATTTTGCCTCTAGACTGTTGTGGGAAATATCCTTTTTGGGAAATAGGATGGATCAGTGTGATTTTTCTCTCCATGAAAGTTGCTATTGAAATAACAACTTATCTTATTTTGCAGTCCTAAAGTAATAAATAAAACATTTATGGGTTAGAATAAATTGAGAGCATCCCATTACCTGTAGTAACAGGCATGTTCATATTCTTTTAAAGCCTCGGGCAGTGATATCAGCAGATTTTTTTCATTTTCTAATCCATAGGCTTCTAATTTCTTTCCGTCAAAGAACTTGCATTTCAGTGCTGAGCAGATCTTCAGAGACCCTTTCTGATATGACTACATTTTGAGGCACTTCTTGTAAATTGTGTTTAACTTCAGTTCACAGAGAAAGCTTGGTGTAGTGGGAAGAATGTGGGCTTAGTATTTATATACGGTTACTCTGCTTGGTATGTTTGGTACTAACCTGTGGTTCATGTTCTTTGCCCATTAGCAATCTGTAATTTTCTGATGAGCAGACTCCGAGTTCATCAGTCACTGGCACGGCTGTAGTGCCTACTAAAGAATTCCTGCCTCACTTAGCTGTTTCCGAGGTTACCGTTTCCATTACATTCTGCGCATGCCCAAGTGCACATGCGCACAGGCCCTCCTGGGAGCTTCTTGCTCTGTGAAGTTCCTAGGATAGTACTGGCTTTTTCATCCAGTTCTACACCATTGTGGTTCTTGGTCTCGTTGCTGGGACTCACATTGGAGAACCATCACCATTGATCTGTTAGTTCAAGAACGCAGGCACTCCTACAAGGAATAACCTTCAGTTTTCCCTCTAGGACAATCTGCCTGTCGGAACATAGTGAGCCAATCTTTTCTGTTCAAACATTTACCACTTATTTACTGAGTCCACTCTATCTATAGGAGTCTGCTGTGGGCTGTGGAAGATAAAATGGTGAATTAAGCACGATTTCATGAACTTTAGGGAGGAATAAAATGATCAAATGCTCCTTGGAGGTATAAACCCTATAGTGTCTTAGAGACAGCAAAACATGCAGTTTGCTAAGAATAGAAACATTATAAAGAATGATGGAAGATGGGGAAAACTTAACCATTTTCCTCAATTATTGCCACATTCTTCCTTTGACTTTCAAATGAAGTGCAGTGTCAGTTTACCTGAGGTTCACTTGGTTTTCTCTGTGAACTGTCTCAATACTCAAGAGTATCTCTTCCTGCTTCTTCTGTTTCAGTCCTCCTCTTATAGATGGCTATATATTCTTATCCCTTGTATTACCATTTAGCCAAAACTGCTACCTAGAATTCCAGACTTAGAATTTCTAACTGTCCCTTACCTCCACCTGGCCTCTCACTACTATCTCAAATGGACAGAGCTAGAACTAAATTCAGTCCTCACCCCTCCACATCTGTACCTCCTTTATTCCATCTCTGTGAATAGTACTACCTCCCACCTGATTTCTCCATGCAGAAGGTAGACACCACCATTCACTCCTCACTTTTTTAAATTCCTGTGAACCATCTTGCACATTTACCTCCTGAATATCTACTGATTCTCCCTTCTTCTCTCTGGCCTCTGCCACAACCCTAGTTCTAGTCATCATCACTGAGCTGAGTTAATGAGGAAGCCTCCCTGGTCTCAGATTTGGTTTTAACTCTTACTAGTGCCTCCTTCATGCTACATTCAGAATGATCCCTTTAAAATGTAAATCTCATCCTGTCCAGCTTCTTGAAGCTCTCCATTGGATCCTTTATGGCCCTTAGGATAAAATCCAAATTCCTTAAATAGTTTGAAAGGCCCTGGTGTGCTGGCCCTTACCTGATTCCTGGACCTACCTCTCTTGCTGCGCCTCCAATGGCCTGCTGCCTCCAGACGTCCTGATCTACTTTACTTTCTAAATTGGTCATGTTTTGGCACTTGGAGGTTTTAACATGCGCCCCACCCCTGGATTCTATTCCTTGTTCTTGCCCATCTACTGTTCTCAATAAGTAGGGCCCCTGTATGCAACAGTAAGTCAGGTTGATGCATGATTGCCAATTGAATTCTTTGCTTTCTTCTAAACTATAACCTTAATTCGAGCAGGGAATGTTGCACTTAACTACCACCACATCTCAGTTTCCTAGACATATTATTTATCAAGAAAAACATCTTTTACTGTGCCACATCATTTACCACTTGATCCTCTGCTTCTTCCAGGTAGAACCAAGCTCTGTTTATTGGCCATACTCAGCACTTTGTGTTGAGTCTTTTTTTTTTTTACCAGCTACTTTTGGGATTTATGTTTATAAACATATAGGAATATAAATTACAGAAGTTATATTAGATGAGACTCAGCAATGTAATTAGTTTAGTAAATGTGCTATAAAGTGTACATATGAATGAGTGTTTTGTTTATGTAAGACTATCTGCAGTAGAAGAAAAAGCTGTAAGGAGGGGCCGGGGGTTTAGCTCAGTGGTTTCTTCACCTGCTGCGCAAGCACAAGGGCCCGAGTTCGATCCTTGGTACCAAAAAAAAAAAAAAGGAAAAAGCTGTAAAGGGCATTTGCTTAGGGTCAGATCTGTTTAAATTCCAGCTCTGCCATTCTGTAACAACTGAGCTCTTGGGCAATTCACTTCCCCCGAGCCTCAGCTTCCTCACCTGCGAAACAAAAGTCTTCTATGTTATATATAATGACTGCTGACTTGCAAGGTGGTAACAGAGTACAGACAGTTTTTGAAAACAGTTGTCCTAGTATCTGGCACCTGGTAGTTGCTTTCTAACTTTTGAATTATTTTTCTTCTGTTTCAACAATGTTGCCATGGATGGAACACTTTTGGAATTTCTTTCAGAATTCAGTCTGCCCACTGTATCTGTGGGTTCTGTCTGCGTCCATGGTTTCAAGCAAGTGCAGATAAAAAAATTCAGAAAAAAAGTGTGTAGGTTCTGATCACGTATAGGTTGTTTTTCTTGCCATTATCCCCTAAACAATACTGTATGACAACTATTTACATAGTATTTACCTTGTTTTAAGTGTTATAAAGAATGATTTTGATATTGGCGTTTCCTGAAACCAGTCCCCCTTGGATACTGAGAGACTACTGTATTTCAGTGGGAGAAATCTTTTCTCTTTAAGAATGTATTTGGAAATTGGATAAAGAAAATGTGGGGTTTTTTAATAAAATTGAGTACTACTCAGACATAAAGAACGAAAAACTAGTCATTTATAGCTAAATGGATGCATATCGAGGCCATACTCTTAAGTGAAATAAATAGGACACACGTGTGTAAATACTGAATAGTTTCTCTACTGTGAGAAACTGAAAGTGTAAACAAGGGTTAAAATGATTAAAATGAATAATTGATCATTTGAAATAGGGAAAAAGGTCCAAAGATGGAGTGAAGGGAGGGGAAGGGGAAAGGAAAAGAAGGAAAGGAAAAACCATGAGAAAAGAAAAAAAATGGAAATCTGTGTAAATAGGGAAGGGCACACAGGTAATGGGGAAAAAATAAGAACCAAGATACATCATGTACAGGTACAAGCACCCAATGATAAATGTAAACGAATTGTATACCTAAAATGTACCAATAAAAGAACCAAAAAAATAAATGTATTTGATTTTTAAAAACAGTCTGGTTCAGAGAATAAGATCAAGATGGTTAAACCATCTGGATATTAAGATTAAGTGTGATTATAATGGGATTTTCTTTTTTAGTATCTAAGCTGGTGCATATTCTGGCTTTCTCATAGGTGACATTGATAGCATATTCTACTTGGCACATTAAATTTGGGGAATTAACTATCACAAAGTCTTTTGTTTTTCTTGAAGAGCACTCTGATAAATCAAGCAGTATTAATAAGCTCAAGAGACCTGAGTTCTTTAATATACTTAATCACAAGTTGACCATCAAAAATTTTCTTCTAGCGACATAATTTAGGCAGAAGGGTGATCCAAGGGGCCCAATGTACTCTCGTACACATTTGAGGCTGTTCTATTTTCAGCTAGGTACATGGGAATCTGTGTGGCTGAAGCATAGCAAGGATGATGTTCTCTGTGCATGACAGAGGAGCCAGTGCCCTTCAAAGGTCTGCAGAAGGATCCACAGGATGAGTTCATAGGATAAGACATTGGAGGGACAAGGAAATCGGCCTACTAGAAAAAGCATTCAAAGCAGGTGATTGGGGGAGCAGAAGGATGGGAGGCTGGAAGCCAAGTTCTCAGGATTGTGTGGAAGCTGGATGGGGGTTAGTGCAGTTGTGGGGAGATTAGTGACTATGAGCAGTCGAGGGCAATATATAGTGACCATACTATGACAAGCCCAGTGTTACTTTGAGATCCAGAGGTTACTGTTGTTCCAGTATTTTTCCCCTTTGTTGAATAGGAGGTCATAAATATGAAGTATCAAGGATTATGGACACATTAATTACTTTTAAATATTTCACCATTTTATATCCTGAGTTCACATTACCTTGAGGTGTGCATGTGTGTAGTAGTTGTTGTCGATGTTGAAATGATTCACTGGGAGCAGTGCAGGGGGAAGAGCACAGCTTTGAGTATTTGTGGGTCTTGGGTTGGGGAGGGGAGATGAGATGGTTACACAGCTCTTCTGCCACCTGGGCAGCAGAGGGGCAGAGCCATGCAAACAGGCAGGGCCTGGACCTGTGGCTGCCAGTGGCCCAGACTTCGTAAGAGATTGGTCCGCTTGAACTCTTTGTCAAACAGGGCCTTCAGAGGTACTGGTTCTGTTAATAATTTCAGTGGAACATTGTTCTTGGGTTGTAGGCTGACGCCACTGACATCCCTTTGGATCTTGTTCTTACCCAGGCAGACTGCTCAGTGACATTAGGGGTTGTTCTGCAGCCTGGCTGTGGACGAAGTCATCAAGCAGCCATTGACTGCAACAATGGCAAAAAGCCATAAGTTGTTTTTTTTTCATTTCCTCTCATTCAACCTCAATATTAGAATAAGATTTGAAGTTATTCTGAAAATGCAGAATTCAAGGTCTTCACCCTTTTTTCCCTTTTAAATTCTTTCCTACAAATTGGCTTTTGGTCATCTCTTCTGGGTATTAGCTTCCTTAAGTGTTGTTAACCAGGTTGAAGTTACCATCTTAGGAATGCCAGCCGTGTATGTGAGCACAGACCCGTACTATGTAAGGAAGATTCTGGGGCCCTGAACAGTCAGAGCCATTCAAAGTGCTCTTATGCCACAGGTTAGAGACCTTTGCCTTAAACAGAGGATCATATTTTGAGAGAATGCTTTCATTTTTGGAAGCCAAAATTTTACCTCTTGACAAAATTTTACATTTATGATATAACCTAGTATCTGGCAGTGATATAAAAAAAGAGATTAAATAAGTAACAGAAGCAACTAAACGTCAAATTTATTTCTGGCAAATTACCTGAGTAATTTCCATTGGATACGAAAAATTCAGAATATGTTTACTAGTTTTCTATTGTTGCCTATAGATTACCATAAGCTTAGTGGTTTAACACACCACACATTTAGTATCTTATGTATAGATTGGAAGTCCAACACAGGTTTCACTGGGCTAAAATCAAAGTGTCAACAGGAGCTGCCTTCCTGGGGGCTCTACAAGAGAAACCACTTCCTGGCCCTGGGGGCTTCTCGAGGCTGCCGCTCTGTGGCTCATGGCCTCTTCTGTCTTCAAAGCCAGCAATTGACCATCCTTCCAGAGTCCCATCCGCTTCTGATCACAGCTGGGAAAGCTGCTCTGCTTTAAGGACCTTGTGGAAGGAGTGGGCCCATCCGGATAATCCAGGATAACCTCTCAATCTCAGTCATGAATTTTAATCATAATTTTAATTTAATCATAAATTTTAATGGCCTCTTTGCCATGTAAAGTAACATATCCTCAAGTTCTGGGGAGTAGGATATGGACACTTTTTGGGGAAAGAGCATTTATTCTACATACCCTAATATAGCAATACTTAACATAAAATTTGATTCAGCAAATGTATTTTTCAAATGTGCTCACGATTTAAACTTCCACTTTTATTTATAGGGAAGAGATGTATATATTAAAAAACTAACAAAAACTCTAGAAATTTTGTATGGTTCTTAATCTCCTATGAAAGCTAATGTTCTCTTTTGTTTGCTTTGATAGTGATAACCTGCTAAGGAGAGCAGCATGTCAAGAAGCTCAGGTAATGCATTTTCTGTGATAAAATTAAAACTCACCTTATCTTGATGGTGCAGGAAACCCTTTCTACTCCAGGGATGCACACAGGGTGTTGCAGCAGTGCAGTTGTCTATTTTTCCTACTATCGGGGGATGAATGGGGCTGAGAGCCAACTCCTGAGTAGCATGGGAGGAAGTTAAGCATCTGGCAAGAGCAGTTCTAACGCCCACCCTTTTAGACTTGTTTACTTCTAGATCTCTCCCAAGCACACATAACTGGACTAGCTGAAGCTCTGGGAATTTGCTCATGTTTGCAGTTGTCCTTGAAGGTCTGGCTAAACCCTGACTCATCTGATCCGAATAACCCCCAAGGATATCAGTTCAGAGCAGGTGTTACTGCTGAAAGTTGAATCTCCTTAAAATTGATGATTCATACTTAAAAAGCCCATTTCTTTAGCACAGCTGATTCATTCCATATGCACTGTTATCCCAATTTCATGACACTTCACTTTAACATTCACGTATCTGGTTGTAGTAATTATAGTTGAATTATAAATCCTTTCAATTTGAAGAACACATTCCCCCCTGCTGCTTGTACATTATACCTTGCAGATGAATTTCTGTAGTTTCCTTTTTGTTATATGCTACTGAAGCTTCTGATGTCAGAAATACCCAAAAAGAAACATGAAAGTCAAAAATGGCAAAGGGATGAAACATTTAGTGGAAGTGGGTAGCAAATCTGATGTTCCTGAAATGTTTTCATGGATGACAATAACAGTAGATACTATTAGTAAATTCCTCTCTTCTGTGATTGTTATCTAATGCTTTTAAATCTGTGATTTAAGAATTTGAGTCTGATTTTTGCTTAAAGGTTATTATCTTACATGACTCCAAGTTGTTTTACAAATCAATTTAAACTTTAAAAAAATTTAAAATGTTTTAATTGACACAAGATTTGTACATATCTTTGAGGCACAGTATGATACTTTGATATATGTATGCAATGTATAATGATGGAATCAAGATAATTATGAAATAATTTTAATATTTAATAATAAGTTAAGGGTGATTCATGCCTCTCACCACCCTCCCCTCCTTAGGTAAGAGAATTTCATTTCCTCTTTTTTCAAGGACAGTGTCCTTTATTTCCTGCTTCTAATATATTGACCTCTTCCTACTATCTTGAAAATTCTCCACTTCCCTAGCACACATTTAGCTGCTTCTATGTACCAAAAGGAAGTGGATTTGTCCTTGTAGCCTTCTCTAATTACTATGTCCTTCTTAGTCTATGATTTTTTAATCTCCCATAAATTGAACTCAGTGTATAGCCTTATATAAACTCCTTAATCTACTCTGAACCTGAGACTTGAGTTGCAAGTAGGTAACAAATCTAGATAGCTTTCTCAGATGAGAAGGGGATCAAGAGATGAAAAAAGAATTAAGATATGTAATGTGTATGTACCAACTCGCCACAAGGAATGTAATCCTTATGTACTACAACATGTACTAATTAAAAGCATAGAAACTTTAAAAAAATAACTAGAGGGCCAGGGATTTAGCTCAGTGGTTCTGCTGCCTGCCTCTCAAGTGCAAGGTCCCGAGTTCGATCCCCAGTACCAAAAAAAAAAAAAAAAAAAAAAAAAAACTAGAACAGGGAAGAATAATTAGTACTACAGATCTGGTAGGCTAGGGAGGTGGGTTAGTGAAATAATTTCTAGCCACATTCCAGAACGGTATAGATAGAAGAACAAATTATAATTTTTGGATATTTGGCAGCAAAATGTTAAGGTCTAATTAAGAGTGAAAACAGAGGAGAAATGATAATGTACTAGAAAATCTTTACAAAGAAAGTATGTCTCTGAAGTAGTAAGAATTTTTTAAGGAAGAAAGTATCTTTAATAGATTATCACTGAGATTGTTTAGTACTTCCTTAGAACCATGCATATGGAAGTGACAAATATGAGGTGCTTAGTAGAGATTACTCCCATTTCTTTTTCCGTGTCAGTTATACAGGGTTGCAAAGAGGAGGAGGCAACTAGAGTTATTAGGTTGACTTCTTGTATGTAGAAAGATATGACAATCAACTGGTGACACAAAAGATTTCTCATAAATTTTACTAATAGTTGAAGGAGAAAAAGTTTATATTTTGAAAGCTACACTGGATTACACTTCCCTCCTGACCGCCTATGGCCACAAAGTTAGCCATGTTGTCTATAGAGAAAAAAGTTATGTACCTCTAATAGGTGAAGCAGTTTTTATTCCGATACAAAATTGAGTTTATTGTCATTATATAATGGTACTTTGTCTTTCTTTATGGTATTTTAATATGAGATCATGAATGAATATTTCTTTTATCTCCAGAGTGGATAGCATATCTGCTGGAAGTAAATTATTTTGGAATGAAATATTTGTGCACTAGCTAAATAAAAGAATATTTACTGAAAACTTTTCTTTTTTCTTTTTTCTTTTTTTAGGTGTTTGGCAATCAACTCATTCCTCCCAATGCACAAGTGAAGAAGGCAACTGTCTTTCTCAATCCTGCAGCTTGCAAAGGGTATAGTTCAGTTCATGATGTTTTACATATTCCATTTTTCTTATCAGGCAGCTAGTTAGACTGTATGGAATTAGAACTAGATTCAATACTGTCGTAGCAATCAGAGTCATTTGCAACGTAGAAATAACAGTTAATGTGAAATAACTGTACAGCTAATTGATGCTTAACAAACTTGTCTAATTGAAGTTTAATAGTGATTCCAGAATTAACAGGAATGGAGAAATCTTGTGTGCTTGGAAGTGATCCCCTGGGAATGACTGCTCTGCTGCATGGTGTAAACTACTGGGCCGTCTCTGTAGAAGGATGCTTAGGCTAGCCAAGAGCACTGTGGTTTTGGGAGGGCAGGATGCTTCCTCTGTTGAATGAGGTCTTGGAGGAGAACACTCACTACTCCTCACTGAGGAAATGGCCATGGGCCAGGGGCCTAGAGACAGGACTGACCTATGTTTATGCTTGTTATGTCACAGGGTGGTCTGTAACCCATGTGAGAGAGTTGTACGAATTACAGTGTGAAGTTAATGTGTTGGTTCATTAATTGTATCACACTGAAAGAAAGGAAGTCTAGAGGGGGAAGATGGTGTGTGGAAACTCAAGGTCTGTTAATGAAAAAAATTACCATAGGTAAAAATCTTTATAATGTTAGATGTTATTCTCATAAATCAGAAAGGTGAATTCAGAGACTTTGATGGCTTTGGAAGACATAAAATTTTATTTTAAAAACTAGAATGAAAGTATTGAGGGGAAAAATGCTAAGTTTTATTAGCCCCAGTGTTCAGAACAATTCTTTTTGGCTTTTCTGAAGATTTAGTAATTAACAAACATGTTAGATTGGGACAACTGAAGATGAGAAGAACAAAAAGAATAGTTGCAGCCAGATTGTGAGGTTACTGTTGTCTGGAGTAGCCTGTTGCAGAGCTCTGTTGTCAGTTTCTCTAGGCCAGTGGTGACAAACCTGTGGCATGCGTGCCATAGTGGGCTATTTGTGTCACTGAAGCTCTAAAAGGTTTGCCATCACTACTAGGCATTTCTTGGAAGGCAGTGAGGATGACTTCACAAATAGACGAATCATACCTTTTTCTTCTCAATTCAACAGTTTAAGGTTTTTTGTTTTATGTGTAGGCAAACAAAACAACAACCAAAAAAGGGATGATTCCCTCCCTGGTCTAATGGAATCATATTTTCTGGGCTTCCTTAGAGCTGCCTCCTTGCCACATAAACACACCAATCACACCTATTGGATCACTGTTTAATACCAATGCCAAACAATACCAACAAATAAGTCATAAAGCAACATAACCAAAATACCCAAGGTAATTAGTGATGGCCTGTGGGAGAGACAATAGAGAACTCAGCCTTGGTTTCAGACCCCAAGGGTCCTGGTCTGTTTCCTGTTTTACAGCTGCTCTCTAGCTCTGGAATACTGCAAGAGTTACTTCTTACGTCCTCGGTTTACTCATCTGTAAAATCAAAAAAATAATAGCACATACTTTAAAAACAACCATGTAGAATAGGTGCTCTTAGTATTAAATAATGGCATAGGTGTTAAGCATTATTTCTGCTTCATAGCATGTTCTCAGTATAAGGAACAGAAGCTGCTGTTGCTGCTCTTATTGACTGGCTGAGTGCAGAGCCTTCTCCATTTTGCTCTCTGCTCTTCCCAAGAGTTCTTGCATCTCTCCTTCTGCCTACTTCCATCTAACTCTTCTGTGTTCTATTCCTTTAGTGATGGACTGTTATTCTCTTGCTAATTTGTGATAAACTTATGGTAGTTTGCTTAAGCTATCTTAAGCTATAATTAGTTATTTCAAATTCTTTTCTTTGGGTGCTAGGGCTTGAACCTAACATGCTAAACATGCACTCTACTACTTACATTTTTAAAAAATTAAACTATTTTTCCAGAGCAGTTTTAAGTTTACTTTTTGGTGTGTAAACGTAATTGTGTTTTTAAAGGTGAGTTCTTGTTTGAAAGCATAATATTGTCAGTGAAAGGCAGGCTAAGATACTAACCCTGAAGTGAAATCTTTCTTTCCTGAAGGCATTGTCTCCTTTAACAAGGTGAATCCCTGTGTACTTCTAGGACACAGCTGCTGTGAAACTCTGCAGCATCTATTTTTTTTTAATTTTCATTATTTAATTGCACTATTTTTGTCATCATGGCTCTGCCCTGACACATAATTTATAATTTATCATGTAGCTGTTTCATTATGTAGTACTGGTTTAAAACTTCAGGAAAGCTTTAAGAAATAAGATAACTGTGTGTTTAGTGTTAATAAATAATACATTAAAGAGTAATTATTTTTGTGTGTGCCTGAGCCTGGAAATTGCTTTAAGTACATAAAGTTTTTATTTATCCCTGGTGCTATCTTGCCCTTAATTATATAATAAATAATATATCCTTACTGGTAACACTTGATCTTCAATCTTTTATATAGAATATCAGAAGCAAATATCTTCACCTTCACTTCAGAGATTTTCTGAACATGGCACCATATAAAGATGTGGATAAACACCAAATGTTCACACCTTTTTTCTTAAATGAACGCAAAGGAGGTTAAGATTTGTTGTGGTTGATATGGCAGATTGAGACTTCTCCAGAGCTTTGCTTTTAGGAAATAGATCTGACCCCCTCCCGGCGGCTCAGCCCTTATCAATGAGAACAAGCCTGGAAAGAGAATTGTTTGAGTATCACTAGCTCAGCCCTTTATTTTTGAGGTAAGCCCCAGAAACAATGAGCCTGAAAGAGAAATTTCCAGTTCGCCTTTTGTGTTCATTCTGATCATCAAGAGCAGTAGTAAAGTTACAATATATTTAATTTGCTTAGTATGTGCTCAGGTGGGCTCTTGCTAGTTCTTGTGAACATCTGTCCAACCTTCTCTATTTTAGTTCATAATAAGAAATATTTTGTTTTCTGAATGCCATTTGGTGGTTGTATCTTTTTAGTGTAAAGGACATTGAATTTGGTCCATATAACTTTACATTTTCTTCATTAGGTACCCAGTTAAAAGCATGCATTGTTGGTAAAAAAAAAAAAACAAAATGAAACATTTTTTATAAAGAGGATTGAATAAATATGGATATAAAACTTAGATGTTTGGCATTGATTTTTTTGAAATATTTATTTTCATAATGTGATTGTTAGTTATAATTCAATTTATATGAAACTCTAGAAAAGGCAAAGCTATAGCAATGTAAAGTAGATGAGTAGTTCCCAGGTGCAGGGACTGAAGGCATGGTCTTGATTGTGGAAGGATATGAAAAAATTTTTGGAATGAAAAAATGTTCTGTGTCTTGATTGTGGCAGTAGTTTTATGACTATACACATTTGTTAAATCAAACTGAACTGTGAAAATGAATGCAGTTATAGATCTCACATGCCTCTCCCCATTTTACCTCAATGAAGTTGATTTTAAAAATGAAAAAAAGGTATCTAGGTGTAAAAGTTCAACTAAGTGGTATAGCTTAATGTTTTACTTGTCTTTGAGACCATAGCATTGTCTTAAGTGAGACTTTTTAGTGTCTGCATCCCTTAACCCCTAAACTGTTTTGAATTCTGACCTGAATTGGATTAAGAATTCACTATCAGAATCATGTGCATGATACTTTTGAAATACAAAAACTCACCGAAAGGCTGTTGAACAATTTCTCTTGTAAGACATCACAATCATGCCATTCCCTTTGCCTTAGAATTCATGTGCCTACATTTGGGGCAGGTTTAGTAATTTGTTTATGCATTAATTCATCAAATATTTAGTAAGTACCTTCAAGGTATGCCATACATAATCGTAGAAGATAGATTCACGGAATAATAAGAGGTGGTCTCTTTGCAAACTTACCATCTAGTTCTGAAGATAGCCTTGAATATCAGTATTAGTCACCTTTCCCATTGCTGACAAACTATCTGACACCTGTAACTTACATGATGAGAGTTTTATTTGGCACATTCACCTGTGAATGTCAGTAGATTAATCCACTGATGAGTATAGTGCTCCCATGGTCCAAGAAACTCTACAAGAGTCTTAGTCTAGTCAGGTTGATAGTTAAGCTTCAACATTACAATATCTTCTGATCTTCAAATACTGTAAAAGGTCTATAAGTGCTAGGGAAACTGAGAAAGACATGACTGTGCTAGTTTTTGACTAATCCCATTAGATCATTTTTAATGTTTCCCTCTTCCAGCAGAAATAATGGAAATTTTTTTTTTCTTTTTCTTCAGAGGTTTCATTATGACATCTCAAGATATGAAGATATTCCTAGTACTTGAAATTTTCAAAAATGGTGTACCTCTTTCCAAAGGGTTGTGTTCACTGAGCTAGATTTAAGTAATATTTTGCTAAGTCTGTTCCTTTGGGCCACATGAATAATGTTACAGTAAATATCCTCCCTGCCTTCCACTAGAATATAAGAATATATCTTGAGGGTACAAGTAAGTTCCATGAGACACATAGTCTTGTCTACCCTGTCATGTTGTATCCTTAGCTCCTCCACCTTGCCTGTCACTCAGTAGGTGCTCATTGAATGAATCAGGCATTGTTGTCCTCAGAGAGCCACATCTACTGTTCATTCTTCTCCAGAGGAGCACAAGTGGGAGCTGCAACTGTTCCAAATGGATAAGAGTGGATCGTATTAGACAAGGGGAAACTGGTTTCCTTAACTCATTACTCAATGTAAATGTCTTGTACTTGGACAAATAAAGGAAACTTGTGTTCTGTAGTCTTTCTTGTTCTAGAGAAGATGATTGGGATTTTCTTCCTCTCAAGAACTTGTGTTAAAATATGTGTATTTTTTTCTCTTTGTCTACAGCAAAGCCAGGACTCTATTTGAAAAAAATGCTGCCCCAATTTTACATTTATCTGGCATGGATGTGACTGTCGTTAAGGTAAGAAGGACTCTGGAGTATAAATGTTATTTCACCCAAGCTCCCCCCTCCCCCATTCTACCATATGCTCTGCTCTTGATTTCTTAGCAGAAATTACCTGTCATTTAAGACAAGAGGAAAGAAATCAATATTGTATCTTGTTCTGACAATTAAAAAGAGCAGTCTTGTTTTGTTATGACATTATCTGCTTTTCATTTTCAGAACAGGTTAGTTGGAGCCATGGAGACCTTGATACCTTTCATTTGAGAGATAGGAGATAAAATTATCTCTTGAAAGATGAAAGCATTAGAATTCTTCTGAAAAATACAGAACCTTCAAATTTGAATAGTTTAATTTCTTAGTAGTTTCACAAACATAAACATTCTTCTCTGTGGTAAAGAATTCTTTGGTGAGATATTTTAAACAATAAATCTTTAGAATTTGTGCGTTCAGTTAAAAAAGGGGACAAAAGTAAGTTATATAGAATTGTACTAAATCCGAGGATGCCTTAGTCTCTACTTTGTTGTATTTTAAGTGATATATATGTGGGTGTGTAGTGAAAGCCATTTTTACAATGTTTATAAGTCTGTGGTTAACCTGTTTCTAATATTACATACTTTCAGTAAGACAGAGAGGTTCAGAAATCATTTAGTCTTAATTGACCATGCAATTTTGAGCTCTCCCACTGTGTCAGAGGTATGACCTTCCAATTATTTACCTTCAGGGATAGGGAAAAGGGGAAGAAAACATTTATTTGAGTACCTACAGTGCACCAGATTGTAGGTATGAGAGCTCTTGAATGGTTATGTAAGACTGATGATTATCGGTTCTTTGAATGGTTGATGCAGCTAATGGATAAAACCATCTGGGCTTAGAGCTTTTGTAAGTGGAGAGTTTCTTTGTGTACTAAATTTCTTTCATGGTTCTAGAGAAATACTTAAGTTCTATTTCTTTTAAAATTCTGTTTTACTTAAGTTTGGCAAAGTAAAATTTTCAAAGAAATTATTCATTTCATCTAAGTTTTCAATTAGTTGGGATCGAGTTATTCATAGTATCTTTTTAACTTTTAAATTTCTGTAGCATCTGTAATGTCCCATTTTAATATTTTTTTTCTGGGGCTGGGCATTGAACTCGGGGCCTTTGTACTGAGCTGTATCCTCAGGCGTACACCACACCTTTTTAAAAAATTTGAGATTAGATCTTGCTAAGTTGCCCAGGCTAGGCTCAAACTTGCTATCCTCCTGCCTCAGCCTCTGAGTGCTAGGATTACAGATGTGTACCATCATGCCTGGCTCCATTTTCATTCTTAATATTGTTTATTTGTGCCTTTGTTTTTCTTAGTGGTCTTGTTTGTCAGTTAGTCTTTGTCAAGAACAGTTTATTGACTTACTCATCTTTACCTGTGTTTTTCATTCAGTAGTCTCTTATTATTTCATTCTACTTTGTTTTTTTTCTTCCTGTTTTTACAATTTAATTTGATGCTTATGGAGTATGATAAAAATACTGTGAATGCTTAAATTAAAAAAAAATTATTACAGTAAAAGACACACTTCCATTAATTCCCATGAAAGTACTCCTCCTTTCTTTGAACAGACTTATCCCATCATTCTTGCCACTTTCTGAAGCAGTTCTGTAAGTCCTCTTTCATGAGTATCTCTAGTTGTGTAATTGTGGCTGCCCCTACCTCCTCTACTTTTACCTTTCATGGTCATTTTGACTCTGGGGAAGAGCCAGAAGTTGTACAGATCTGAATAAAGTGGATGAGGACACATTTTAATGTTTTTATTTGACAAAAGTTATTGTAAACATTATGAATTGATTCAGGACATCAAGGCAGCCATGAAAAGACATGAAAGAGGACTTGTAGAACTGCTTCATAAAGTGTCAGAAACGATGGGATAAGTGGTTTAAAGGGAGGGGAGTATCTTGCAGGGGATCAATGGCACTGTGTTTTTTACTGTAATACAATTTCTTCAATTTTTATTTAAATATTCACCATATTCCATGATCATGGCTCATGCTTCACTAATTTTCAGCTTTCCTGTTGCATATATAGCTTTATATTTAAAGCTATAACTTTTACTTTGTTGCTTTGGCTATGTTCTATAATTTTGACATATAGTAGTTTCATTATCATTCATTTCTAATGTTTTCTAATTTCCATCATGAATTTTCTTGACTTGTGCATTAGACATGTTTTAATTTTTAGATCAAAAGTTTTAGTTATTTTGTTTTTGATTTCTGATTTAATTGCATCATGATAAAGTATCCAATATAAATTCAGTATTTTAAAGTTTATTGAGATTCGTTTTATAGTCCAGAATGTGGCCTCTTTTCATAAATGTTCCATGTATGCCTAAAAATAATACATATTATCAGGTACCATGTTGTAATTATGTCCAATAAGGCAAGTATGTTCATTATGTGGTTCATATCTTCTGTGTCCTTCCTGATTTTTATTCTTTATAAATTATTAAGACAGGTGGTGTTAGAAATCTCTCATTAAGATTTTGGACCTATCTGGGGCCAGGGATTTAGCTCAGTGGCACTGCACCTTCCTCACAAGCTCAAGATCCTGAGTTCAATCCCTGGTACCACACACACACACACACACACACACACACACAATTTGGACCTATCTGTTTCTCTATATAGTTTCGTCCATTTTTGCTTTTTATATCTTGAGACTGTCGGTAGATATGCTAAGGTTTCAAATTATTGCATATTTCTTGCATTTTGACCCTGTCACACAGTGCTTCTCTTTAGACTAATACTGTTGTCATAGTCTATCTTATCTAGTATTATTAGTAATTCTACTGTTAGGTTTTTTCTAGTATAATTTTTACATCCTTATACTTTCAACATTTTTGTATTGTTTTATTGGATAAAGCATTGATAAAGGCATACAAACAGGATATTTTAGAGACCTGTCCATGGTTTTGATAGATTGTTTAATCTGTAAAAATTTATTGTAATTGTTGATATACATAAGCTTATTTCTACACCAGTTATCTATTACTAGAAACAAACTGGCTCAGCCACTGCCTTTTCTGATTATGATCCCATTTAGTCAGCAGTCTGTGTTTAAACATGTTCTTGTCTTAGCGGCTCAGTAATGTGGCTCATACAGTTTCTCATGTGTCTTTAGATCGATGATGGCTGTCATGTGGCCAGTGTGTCTCTACTATGCATCTTCACATGATAGCTTGGTTCCTTGAAATAAATAACAGACACCATCTCATTTTACCCCTAAATACTTCACAGTGTGTATGTTTTAGCAAATACAGATACTTTTCTGTGTAACTACAGTGACATTTTCATACCCAGCAAAAGTAACAATTCTCCAGTATCATCTTGGACTACCTAGCCTATGTTCAAATGTCCTGACCCATGTATTTATATTTTTTCTAATTTGATACTTAGCAGTATATATAAGTATAGTATGTACATTAAATACTTGGGAAATAGACATTTAAAAGGATGAGATTTAAAAATTAATAGAAATAGAAGTAATAATGTTTTCTTATATTGTAGTAGAAACTGCTGCTATTTGCAAGTTTTATTGTCCATCTTTTAAAGTTCACTTTTCTTTAGAAATAATTTCAGTTTGGGGTCCTGGCTAATGGTGAGGTGTGGTTTTCTGTTAAGCTCTCGAGCACTGAGCAGATTCTGGGATTGTTGTCTTCTTTTCCTATATCCTGGTGAAGCCGAAAAATCAGCTCTCAGATCCACCTGCTTCACGAAATGCCCTGAAAACATTTACTGTTTAGGTGGTGATTTGAGTTCAGTATGCCCTACTGTATTCTAGTTTATTGATATATCAAAGATATTTGTGCTATTTTACTTAGTATCTTTAATTTTCAGTAACAGAGCACCTTGTCTGTTATTTTGTAGAAAGCATGGCATTGTAGCATTTCATGTAGATGATTTTGTTTAAATCACATAAAGCTTGGTGAAGTTAGATGTTCTTTTTATGAATGAGGAAACAGGATGCACAGTTACACAACTGTGATAGGGCTGGGATTTAAAGCTAAGGCTGTGTTTCCTACCTCCACTCTGCCTCCACTTGATATGAAACCTATTACCCACTGAGACACCCTATTCATCTTAGGACAGGATATTCTTATTTTGAGAAGGTCTTTTTCCAGGAGTTTTACAAATAGGTCCATGGTTCTCACTTGTTGAATATTACCTAGGGAGTTTTAAAATATACTTGGGTCTTACTCCCCATATATAACTGATATGGGATAGGATCTGTGTGTTTATATTTATGCACTTCATCCATCTGCCCACTCCCAGGTGATTATAATGTGTATAATGTAGTTATACTGAGAAACATTGACCTAGGCCCTAGTTCTACCCCATGAGTTCATGTGAAACAAGCCTAACCCTTTTGCATAGTAGTCTTTGGATCAATGAATGTTTTCACGATCCCCCTCCCTTATTCCTTCTGCAGGTTAAAGATTTCTCATCTTTTCACAAAGGACAACCATTACCTTCCTGATTCCTTAGATCAGTGATGGCAAACCTTTTGGAGCTTTCAATGATAGCAAACAGCCCGCTGTGGCACGCATGCCATAGGTTCACCACCACTGATTTATATGTTCTCCAGTTTTCTTTACTCTGAAAGTGTTGTGCCCAGAAATAATTCCAGCACTGCAAGTGTGGTCTGCCTAGGGAAAAGTAAAGCAAGACTAACAAATCTCACTCCATATCTTATTCTTTTGAGAAGCCCAAGATCATACTTTTCTTATTGTGGATGTGGCATGCTTTTGAGTGACAGTGTACTCATGGATGTCCCCCAAAGTTCTTATATCTTGTTTTCTGCATACCATTAGGCCACTTAAAAAACATTAATGGACTTTATTTTTTAGAACAGCTTTAAATTTAAGGAAAAGCTCAACAAAGTACAGAGGATACCTATATCCCCCTCTCCCCTTGCCCACAGTTTCCTCTGTTATTAACGTCTTCTATTAGTATGTTATATATATTGATCAGTGAACCAGTATTGACCCATTATTAACTAAAGCCCATAGTTTTTATTTTGATTCACACTTTGTATTGTGAAGTTCTGTGGATTCTGACATATGGATAGTGCATTGTGTTCACCATTACAGTATCATACAGATTAATTTCACTGCCTTAAAATTCCCCTCGGCTTTCCTATTTTTCCCTTCCTCTGCCACTGATATTTTTACTTTTGCCTTTTTGGAAAGTCATATAGTTGGACTTGAGCAGTACATAGCTTTTTCAGGTTGGCCTCTCCCATTTAGCAGCGTGCTAGCTATTGATTTCTTTTCTGTAGCATTTTTAGGTTCCTCCATTGTCTTTGTGGCTTGATAGCTCATTTCTGGGTAGTGTTAAATAATATTCCATTGTGTGTATGTATTGGAGTTTATCTATTTACTCTTGGAAGTAAATTTTGATTGCTTCCAATTTGGGCAATTAAGAATAAAGTTGTTATAAACATTTTTGTGCAGGTTTTTGCATGGACGTAACTTTTCTTCTCCTTTGGGTAAATCTCTAGGAGTGCTAGTGCTGGATAATATGAAAGAATCTATTTAGTTTCATAAGATATGGCAAACTGTCTTCCCAGGTGTCCATAAGGTTTTGCCTTCTCACTAGCAATGAATGAGAGCTCCTTTTGTTCCACATCCTTGCCAGCATTTTCATCATTTTGGACTACCCATTCTAATAGATTATATGTAGAGCAGTCATGGTTGTAATTTGCAGTTCCCTAATGCCAAATGATGTTGAGCATTGTTCCATATACTTTTTATCCACTTGCAGATCTTTGCAGCGGTGTCTCTGCAGAGCTTTGCCTTTTCAGTTGGGTTGGTGTCTTACTGAGTTTTATGAGTTCTTTGTATTTTTAATATATTAATCCTTTGATAAGAAATTTATTTTGCAAACTTTCTGTGGTATTTCTTTCTTGTTCTAGTTTCCTAATAGTGTCCTTTTTATTTTTTTTCTGAAAAAATAAAGCAAACTTTCATAATTAAATAATAAGAGGATAACAATAGTTATTACATTGTGTGTCATCTTCAAAGTAGTTACTCAGTGTAAGACATAAACCAAAAAAAAGACATAAACCAAAAAGATTCTTCAAAAAAAGAAATAATCTCCTTATAATGTGTTTTGCAGAGCAAAAGTTTAATTTTAATGAATTCCAATTTATTAGTTTTTTGGGTTTTTTTTTTTGGTTTGGTTTGGTTTGGTTCCAGTACTGGGGATTGAACCCAGGGCCTTGTGTATGCTAGACAAGCCCTCTGCTACTGAGCTATATCCCCAGCTCTACTAATATTTTCTTTTATGGATCTTGCTCTTGGTGATGCATCTAAAAACTTATTGCCTAGGATTTAGCTTAATGGCATAGCTCCTGCCTGGCAAGCCCAAGGCCCTGAGTTTGATTACTGCTACCAAAATAAAAACTCATTACCACATTCAAATTGATTTAGTCTTTCCTATGTTGTCTTCTAGAAGTTTTATAGTTTTGCATTTTACCTTTATGTAAGTTATCCATTTTGAGTCTCTCACAAGAACTAACTCAAAATGGATAACTTACATAAAATAAAAAATAAAAGCAAAAAGACACTATTAGGAAACTAGAAAAATAAAAATATACCAGAGAAATGTTTGCAAAATAAATTTCTTATCAAAGGATTAATATTGATTTTTTTCATTTATATACTTAATCATATAGTAATTTTTAAAAAATTAAGTTCCTACTATCACCTAAGCCCATTCTGAGTATTGAAAATACGTTTTAGACATAATTCTGTTTTTAAATAGCTTACATTTAAGGGCTGAGGATTTAACTCAGTGGTGCCGTGCCTGCCTGGCAAATGCAAGGTCCTGAGTTTCGGTATCAGGTACTGAGAAAAAAAAAAAAGCTTCCATTCAAAGCTTGAAAGAACACAGAAAATACATATAACAAATAAACATGTTATTTGTGCCAAGAAAAAAGACAGAGTGTAATGGAGGTCATTTTAGTTCAGCTGGTCCAGGAAGACTAGTTTGATAAGATGACCTTTCAGTGAGCCTTACAGAGGCTTGCGGAAAGAGGTTGGTGGCAAGGCATACTGCCTGTGCAAAGGCGCTGAGGCATGAATGTAGATAGGATGTTTGAGGAGTAGTAAGGAGGCCAGTGTGGTTGGAATGGAATGAGCAAAAGGAGAGAATGAGAGGGGCTGAGGTTGAAGAAGTAATTGAGCAAGTTCTTCAGCTTTTTATCACTTACATGTTCACTGAATTACCTTTTATCCCCATTGTTGGTAAAGTGTGTAGTAATATTTTACTACTAAACTGATTGGAAGGTTGCAACGTTTAGCACTCTTCCTTTGGGACCTTCATGAAAGTCTTAACAGTTTAGGAAAGACTCCTGTTTGAGAAACAGTTTTCATGAAGAAAGTGATTGGAGAGCCCTAACAAAATGTCCCTCGAAATCTTCCAACAATTTGACATTGACATTCAATTGGTACCTAATCCACTTACTGTATTCAGCATATTGTTTCCACATTCACCTTATCCACAGGGATATCATCAAATAACTTGTGAGGAGCCTGTTGGAGAACAGATACAATTATTCTAATTTCCAAATCTATTGATCTATAATTTGTTAAAAAGGAACTGAGGATCTTATTGAATCCTTGCAGATTCCTAATGATTCCTGGGTGTTCACAACCATCCTTTTGACCAAGATTGATGAATATTCCTTTTAAAAATATTAAATATTTGTAAAATTTATAACTATAACACCAGTCACTTTCTCTTTAGAATAAAAATAGAACTATTCATCATAAAATTAAATGATAGTATTTTAGGGACCCCCTTTTTCCTCTTGGTGAACTGTGAATCAGTGTCAGATTAGGATTTAGTGACTTGGTGATAACCAACAGTGTGTCCAACACTTCAATTCTGGCACCAGTTCCTGGACCGAACACGGACTCCATAGGTTATGGGTTCTGTCTCACAAGACTGCTCGCTTTAGGTACCAGTGGAAAGTTTCAGGAAGGGGAGGCCACATGTACAGACCAACAGCTATAAACTCCCTTCTCAGGTTGGATACTTTGCTAGAATAGCTAAGACTCAGGAAAACACTTTACTCACATTTACTGGTTGATTATAAAGGAGCTAATTCAGGAGCAAATACTATTTAGTTTTACCTATTAATATGCTTAGTGTACTTTCAATTGTAGGAAATGTTTCCTGTTTCAGTGTTAATTACATTATATCTTTTAAAAGTTAGTGTTTGGCTTTAGAGGTATACATCTCATTGGTGGCTGAAATGGTTCGTTTAAGTCTCTGCATGCATCTGAGATGAAACATTTTTAAACATGGCAAAGCTTACGTATTCTTTTGTGAGTGCTTTGAAACACACCTGTATTTTTATGTACAATCATAGCAAATCTATAACTTCCTATTTATTATAGTACAGTACTGATGCTGAAACATTACCTAATTGCTTTATATTCTGTTTGGGGAAGCACAAGGAAGCTAGTACTACCACTCTCCAACATACATAATTTAATGGATAAGGAAGTTAAGATCCAGAAAGTTAAAGCCATTCAGCTGAAAAGTAGCAGTTAATCTAGGTCTCTGGCCCAGAAATCTGTGCTCTTTTCATTATATCTTCTGGTTCCTATTTGCATGTACACTTGAGTTCTGTCTTCTTAGGATAGCAGTGGTTAAATGATGGAATGGCATCTTTGCTGGACTGGAAACGAGTCCTTTGACTACCTCTCTACCTAAGTGAAATAAGTTATTGAGCTTCAATTTTATTTTTAAAGTAAAGAGCTGAAGTTTCTGAAGTCCCTTCTGGCTCTAAAAGAACAAAACTATACGTAGTTACTTTCATAGCTGTTTGTGCTTTTTTTTTCATTTCTATCAATTAGGTAAAATTCAAGGAGAGTCTATGTAAAAGAAATATTTAAAGAAAATATTCCACATATTTAATGTTTGTACCTGTGCCCCTAGGATAGTAAATTTACCAAATTTCCTTTGTATTTCAGACAGATTATGAGGGACAAGCAAAGAAACTCCTGGAGCTGATGGAAAACACAGATGTAATCATTGTTGCTGGGGGAGATGGAACCCTACAGGAGGTAGGATTTTTTCTCTTTGGGCTATTTTGAAGGTGAGAAAAATGAAAATTAGATTTTAGATGCTTATATATTTATGATTTTTATATCTCTTCCTGTTGAATTGTTCCCTTAACCAGTATGTAGTGACCTTTTTTGTCTCTTCTGACCAGTCTTGGCTTGAAATCCTCTTTGCAATTAGAATAGCTCTTCCTGCATTTTTCTGGGTTCCTGTTATGTGAAGTATTATTTTCCATTCTTTGACTTTGAGTCTGTGAATTTCTTTTTGTATTAAATGTCTTTCTTCTATGAAGCATATTGTTGGATCTTGATTCTTGATCCATTCTGCTAATCTGTGTCTTTTGATTGGTGAGTTGAGACCATTTACACTGATGGTTATAACTGATATTGACTTAATCTTTGCATTATATTATTTTCCTGCTGTTGGTTCCCTTTCTTTTGTATTTAATTGCTCACCTTTCCTGGTGGATTCATTCTGTTGAGCTTTTTGACATTGATGTCTTCATTGTCTCTTTCTAGGATGCCCTTGAAAAATTTTTTGAGTGCTGGTTTGGTGTTCATGAATTTCTTTAGATATTCTTTATCAAGGAAGTATCTTATTTCTCCATCAATTTTGAAAGATAATTTTGCGGGATACATCAATCTCGGTTGGAGGTTGTTTTCTTTTAGGGCTTGAAACACTTCACTCCAAGCCTTCCTTGACTTAAGGGTTTGTATTAAAAAGTCTGCTGTAATTCTGATGGGCTTTCCTTTAGAGGTGATTCGTTTCTTGGTGTAGTTATAATTTAAGGAAATTTTTTTGAAATTCATTCTTTTAGGATCATTGCTCTCAAATTTAATATAGTTCTAAATTTTTCTCATGCACTTTTATTACATTGCTTTTGTAAACCCTCTCTTTGCTTAGCACATAGAAAGGTTTCTATGTGGTCAAAATTCAGTTTGATAAAATTGAGTAACAAGGGAGGCAAAATGGTTGTGGGTGGGATAAGCTTATTCTGTTTTGAAGGGTCACATGAAGTAACCCTGTTTGAAATGGACTCATAGTTTCAGGTATGAGGACTACGTGTTATAAAGATTTCTTTTAAAAATGCATCTATCTATTCTCACATCATTTCTGTCATATGTTTTCTTTTAATACTACGTTTATAGGAAGAGGGGCTACATGTTCAGATATGTGGATCTGGGTTCCCCTCTGCATTGAACCCAGGGCTTTGCACATGATAGGCAAGTGATCTGCCACTGAGCTCCATCCTCAGCTCTGTCTTTTTTACTACTACATATCCTCAGTGTGATTCCACTGCACACCTATTAGAATGGCCTAAATCTAGAGCACTGGCAGTGTCCAAAGCTGATGAGGACCATCATTCTTTGCTGATGGGAATGCAGGATAAGCAAAATGCAGAGTAGCATAGCCACTTTGGAGCAGTTAAGTGGTTTCCTACAAAACTGAAAATGCTCCTCCTATATGATCCAGCAGCTGTGTGCCGTAGTATTTACCCAAAGGACTTGAAACCTGATTTCCCCACACAAGCCTGAATATGACCAGTTCCCCACAATGAATAGACTCATTATGCACTGCAAATATTTACCAGTAAAAATAAAATCAAACTATATATACATATTAATAAAAAAGGAAAAAATCCCACACACGAATGTGTATAGAAGCTTTCTACATAATACACAATTGCCAAAACTTGGAAGCAACTAAGATATCCTTCAGTGAGTGAATGGATAAAGAATGGCACATTCAAGCCTAGCATAGTGGCATGTGGCTGTAATCTCAGCACTCTAGCAGGCTGAGACAGGGAAATTTCAAAGTTTAAGCCCAGCCTGTGCAACATGGTGAGACATTAAAAATAACAAATTTTAAAAAAGGGCTGAGGATGGAGCTCAGTGTGAAGGCCCTGGGTTCAATCCTCAGTACGACAACAACAACAAAAGTGCAATACATTCACACAATAGCATAGTATTTGGCATCATGAGAAGTTATGGAGGAAACTTAAATGCTTATTGCTAAGTGAAAGAAGCCAATGTGAAAAGGTTACACACTGTAGGGTTTCATTATTTGACATCCGGGAAAGGCAAAGCCCTAGAGATGCTAAAAAGACCCATGGTTACTAAGGGTGAGGTAAAAGAGCGGCAAATAAGTAGGCAGAGCACGTAGCATTTTTGGAGTAGCAGAAATACTCTGTATGATACAGTAATGGTGGATGTATGTCATTTTTTGGTGTGGGTTCATCATTTGTAACACACACACCATCCTGATGGGAGATGTTAACAGTGAGATGCTTAGGGCCTGGTGTTACATGGAAAATCATTGTATCTTTTCTCAATTTTTCCATGAACCTAAAACTGCTTTTAAAATAGCTTATTACTTTTAACAAGTGACATATTCATACTGCTTATTGTGGGCCAATAAGCACTGCAGGGGTGTTATCCTGCAAGTGTTCTTTCTCCTCCCAGGAGGCCAGGGCGGTCAGTGAATGTGGGAAACCTCTGAAGAGCTCCAAGTATGTGATACTGCCCGATGCTCAAGTGTGGGGTTACACACACTATTTCATGTCCACAGCTCACCTCTGGTTACCTTCATCTCTCTTTTGTGGCAGGAGGCTCTCATCAATGTGCAGGGACCAGAAGGTAACAGCAGACATGGCTGTCCTAGGGACTTGGCACCAATGTATGCCTCTGTAAGCTTCTTTAAAAAGGCTGCACTAATGATCTTATAATTGTTTTTATGGCTTTTTAATGAAGTGTGCAGCGCACGGATGGCATGAAAGAGTGAAGTAGACCATGGACAGTCCCATGCAGTCCTGAGGCTCTGTGAAGCCAGAGAAGATGGAATGAGGAGATTAGTGTCAGGCCTGGGTTTATAAGGTGGTTTTAGGGAAAGATAATAAATTCTGTATTTGGTATCATCAAAATCATACTAAATAGGCATTGATTAAAAAAAGGGATTCATAGGAAATATACCTGTATTCATCAGCTTACCTGCCACTGGGACAAACTACCCAACATGTACAACTTGAAGTAGTTTATTTTGCCTCATAGTTTCCATGGGTTCAGTCCATAGTTGGATGGTTTCAAGGCAGAATAGCATGGCCAGATGGCATGGTGGAGGAAAGCCATTCACTGCACGTGGTTAGAAAGCAGAGACAGGGAGACGCTTGGGATGAGACTGCATCCTCCCATGTCCTGTCCCAGTGGCCTGCTGCTTCTGACCAGCCCCACCTCCATTCTTGAGACTTTTGTGGGTCATATTGGGTCTAAACCATAACAATACCCAAATTTGAATACATGATTAATATTCATTATCTAGCATGGTGGAATTATCAGAAATTATTTTTTCTTGTATTTTTTATAGTTTTGTGGGAATATTGCTATCCCCCTTGTCTTCATATTTATTTCTCAGTAAGAAACATTTATTGAGTGCAGATTTTTGAGTGTAATAAGGTGATTTTTCTTGTATTTCTACTTCATAGTAGTAAACTAGGCTCTTTCATGTATTTGGTGTGTACATCACACTTATATGGAACTTAAAAGATTACTAAACTTATGTTCTTAAAATATTTTATTAATATAATGTGGAGTTTTTATAATTAGCATTTGTTATATTATTGATCGTAGGTCAAAAATAAAATATTTAACTGATCATATTTTAGAATACTGTATGTTTTAAGAGTCAATGAATCACTTAACATAGTGTCTAGAAAGAAAGTGAGAATAAGTTTATGGTCCATGAAAATTGAATCCAGTGCTTTTATGTTAAGGGAAATACATATTGTTTATAAATAATTCTTTTTCATTTGTAGGTTGTTACTGGAGTTCTTCGAAGAACAGATGAGGTAAGCTTTTAAGAAAGAGAAATTGCATTTTACCCTTAAAGTGGGCCCAAATTGTGAGTAGATTGATTTTAGAAAAGACAGTACTGTGGTCTTTGTCTCTCTTAGTGACCCATGGTGGGCTTTCTGCATCGATAATCCAGAGTACCCAATACATTTTACTAACGGTTGTTTAAAATATAAAATTTTCCTATGGAATCTTTTCGTCAAAAAATTGTGGTATGTTCATGTAGTGAGAGCAAGGCAACAGTTAAATGAATGAACTAGATCTATAAAGATCTACATGTTTAATTCAGTAAATAGTACTCCATATTGGTGGATATTTACATATGTAGGAAGAGGAATAATAATGTGAATGGAAAGGAATCACCAGCCACAGGATGATGTTTCCTCTGAAAAGAGACACAAGAAAAGGACCATAAGGGGGCTTCATTGTTGTGTGTGTCATTTTATGTCTTAAAACATCTGAAACAAAATGTCAGTGTGAGCACTTGTTAAATCTGGATCATGAGTGCATGGGTGTTTGTAATATTAATGTCCTTATCTATGATAGTTTAAAATATAACTAAAAACAAAAAAAATTCTCACTCCCTTTGGTAATACTAGATTGTGCTCAAAATAGTGTTTCGGAACCTTAGTGTTTATTGTATCTGTGACATTTAATTAAATCAACTGCTATGCCATATCCTTCTGCTACTTGAATTTTCTTATTCTCTTTGCTTTATTTATACTTAAGATAATTGATAAAGTACTTGTCATTGAACACTTGTACAAATGGTAGACATTTTTACTTGGATTTTATCTGCAAATTTTAAAAATAGTGTGATAGTCTAATAAATAGTCTGTCACACCAGCACATGATCCAGTATCTATTCGTAAGACTCTCCTTACCCTAAACAGATTTCTTTCAGTTGTTGTTAATGAGTACCCACATATTTCTTCCAAATTCTACATTGTCTTGCTTTCTTGACAGCTTCATTTTAGAAACTACTGACTTCATAGTGTTTAATTACTGGCCTACAGATGTGGAAAGGTGACAGGTGACAGGCAGGGGCAGGGCCAGTTACTCTGTCCTAGTGGACACACCTGTGTCTCTTCATTAAGTGATTTCTAACTGTATACCAACCAAACTTTCCTCTTTTTCTTTTTTTTCTTAGGCTACCTTCAGTAAGATTCCCATTGGATTTATCCCGCTGGGACAGACCAGTAGTTTGAGTCATACCCTGTTTGCCGAAAGTGGAAACAAAGTCCAGTAGGTTGTCAATGTGGAATATTAGCATTTGTGGGTGAGCGAGCCTGGGAATGAAAATTCACATGTGTGATATGTTTTGTTTTGCTAACTTGAAACTTCAAATAATTGAGAGGAGGGCCTGTATCAAGGTTCAACCTTCAGTTTGTTGGGAAGTTTCCCAGTTGGGTTATGGGACTTTGCTATTCTAATAATAAGTTCCCAAGCCGGCTATGGAGATGAATATTTTATATGCTTTGTCAGTTATGAAGATGCCAGATCTGACACAAACTGTGTGCTTTTACTTTGGGAGATTGTTTTGGGAAGGCAGATTTATACAGATCACTTGTTTTCTTGAAGTATACAAAATGACAGATAGCAAGTCCCTTGTGATGACTAAACCCACACCCTCAGGTTCATTATTTTGATAATATAAATAGCTAAAATGACTAAACATAGTCAGATCCTTTTGGGAATGCCTAAAGTGGTAGGCAGTATGGCTAAGGTAAACAGGGAAAGCAGTATAGCCCTGAAATCCAAATTAAATTGTTGTACGTCTAATAATGTCTTCAGGAGTCTAGCAGATTCTTTTTGTTCTTTCTTTTCATGAAAGCGTTAGGTGAACAAAGCCCTGATCTCTCAAGAAGATAGGGATCTTGGAGTCCAGCTTTCACAGTGATTAATACTCTTGAGCAAATGGTTGTCAAGAAGATCTAAGCAAACGGAGAGATCTGAGAGATAGTTACATTATCTTTACTGTGGGGTTTGTGACACATTGGGAAAAAATTAGTAAATAGTTCTTGAGAAAATTAACAATTTCTCATAACTTTTTTAGCTATAACTTTCAAGAATCAATAATAATACTCAAGTAATTTTCTGTTTCGGTTAAAGATTTTTTTTGGCTTTGGAATTCTTTGTGTTTGTAAATTTTGTTGTAATTGTAGGAGTCAGCTTTTAATAATTCTGTATTTATAAAAGCCTTGGTCCATCTATCAGACACAACTAGGCGTGGATGTAGGAATATATCATGCCTTTATTCAATCTTCCCTTGTGCCTCACACTTTAATATAATGGGTATCATTAATTATTCCCCTGCCATTCTAAGACCTCGTAAACAGAAGAGACCATTTCAATTTGCCATAATTTTTGTTCCCAGTTTAGATTTTTTTTGGGGGGCGGGTGTTACTGGGGATAGAACCCAGGGACTTGTACTTGCTCTGTCACTGATGTTTTTATCCCCAGCTGCTTTTAAATTTTATTTGAGTCAGTGTCGGTCTTGCAAAGTTGTCCATGCTGGCCTCTAACTAGCAATCCTCCTACCTCAGCCTCCTAAGTAGCTGGAATTACAGGTGTGTACCACTATGCCAGGCCTAGTTGACAAGTTTTGAGAGGCAATAGATAATGACAAGTGAATTACTCACATTTTTGCTTATCTGACATAAATACTCTGATTCAAGTCTTATTTACATTAGAGAACTTGGGTTTCTCTTGTGTCAACAGAGGTTTCTTTTTTGAACACTTTAGCCAACATTTCCAAATAGTGTGTGTGTGTGGTCAGAATTCGACTACTTTCCTTGGAGTTCCCCTTGCCTGTCCCAAAGCCAATTTAGGTGGAATATGGCCACCCTCAGGATCTGAAATGGCATTCCATTTTGGGGGGAGCCAGTTTTCTCCTGTTGTTAAACTACTGTTATTATTTTGTTTATAATTTAAAGATTTATAAAATTTAATTTATAAGCATGTCCCAGGGCTCTTAGGTAATCAACTAACTCTGCCCTGGGTTCAGAATTTTGCAGACCTCCTAAACTGGCAGTTGCCTAAGGCTATTTAAAAAGAGTAAGACTTTGCTTTTTGCTCTACTGCCAAGATTTCTTGTACCATAATTACTGCAGAAGAAAAAAGAATCTTTACCCTAGAATTTGGAGTGTTGTAGGTAAATAATCCTAAAAGTGCTGTTCCATGTTACAGTGCCGGTTTACGTAGAACTTTCAGTTATTGCTGGAGAGTGATAAATAAAAGATTGCATTTTAGTTGTCTTTTGCCAAGCAATTTAGGGAAATAATTTAATATATAAAAAGGCTTTTTGAGTTGCAATCTTTTTCTAAGGTCAGTGTCTCAAAGGTACTTACTAAACATGTCAGTGTGCTGGGTACTGTTCAAAGGAAGCACAGTGCTTTAGTATCTTAAACTTGTGAGCATGCTACTTGCTTTCTCCTAAATTGGGTCTCATTTTAAAAAATTGCTTCCCATTTCCTATGTAGCATCTGTACTGGGGGGAAAATGGGATAAAAATGTGTTTGTTGAGAAATACAAGAAAGTATAATAGACTCAATTTGCTTACTAGGGAGCTCAGAATTTAATTCAAGCATTTAGCATGTACATTTTAGGGATTTCAAAGTGTCTTAAGTCATACTGAACTTTGTGAAAACACTGGATTAAGTAATAGGACATGTTGACATTTTAAACCTGACCACCGTGATGGGGAGACCTGGGGATCACATAGATTTTGGATGTGGATTTCTCTTTGGGAATCGATAGATATGCACTTTGTACTAACGCAGCTCACAAGGCAGAGGGGTGTATTTTTGCAGTTAGACTGAAGTCAGCTTTTGTTTAGCATATGTTTGCTCATCTTCTTGGGAATCTCTCTGAACCTCTTTCCTCATGTATGTTTATCAAATGTACAATAATTGCATTGCCTTCAGAAAACTAAAGCTAAAATGAGGACTAGTTAAATAAATATAGTTATTCCTGAAGATTTATTGAAAATTCATTTGGGAGGAAAAACAAATAATAAATAGGATGACATATAATTACTGATTCCGATTCTGTAATTAAAACAGAAATAAAGCAGATTATCCTCTATTCTCATGCTAACTGCTTTACCTAGATTTTTTTTAAAGAAAAGAACACTTTATAGATATTTCTATCAGTTACCGTGGAAAGGTGACCTTTCCTACCAACATCACAGTATTAACTGGTTCTCTACAGGAGAGAGTAGATTATAAGGGGGGCCCTATTATGTGAGAAACTACTCATTTGTGAGTTGAAATTAGTTTCTAAGTGACTCCAATCTCTAGTTTTACTTAAACATGGACTAAGTAATTATTTTACTTTATTAATAATAATGACTGTAGTCTAAAATATAAGTATATAACAAGGCAATAAAATGTCAACATTGCTAACTGTTTACAAAAAATATTAGATACTTAAGGGTAAATCTAATAAGATTGATAATCCTGAAACTATACATCATTAAAGAGATAAGAAAACCTAAATAGATGGAAATTTATCTATATTCATGGATTCCATGATGCAATACTGAGATGTCATTTCACTCCAAATTATAAAGTCAGCCCAGTCCCACAGTTCCAGAAGACTTTTGTGGAAATTAACTAATTCATGAAAGTTTTATATGAAAAGAGTAAATTAGAATAGCCAAAATAATTTTGAAAAACATAACAAAGTTGGAGAACTTTACCTAATCTGATGCTAAGACTTACTCTGACCACAGTAGTCAGGACATTGTGGTATTGGCAAAGAAGAGAGACATAAATCAGTAGGGGAAAGGGTCTACAATTAGACCATGTGTAGATGGATTATTGATTTTCAACATAGGCCCCAAAGCGGTTCCATGGAGAAAGGACAGTTTTTGTCAACAAATGGTGCTAGAACATTGACACAAGTATAAAACAAAAACAAAAAACTTGAACACATATCTCAAAGCATATCTAAAACTTAACGTGAAATGAATCCTAGACTTATAGATAAAATTTAGATGAAAACTTTTAGTATTAGGGAAATGCAAATTAAATGCACAATGGATATTATGGATCTTATTAGAATAGCTTAACAGAAAAGGGGCTGAAAACCTCACAGCAGGAAACACCCACAAGTGTGTAAGCAGTCACTGAAACTTGTGTATTGCTGGTACGAATGCCAAATAATAGTACATCCACTATGGGGCATGGTGTGGCAATTTCTTATAAAATTAAGCAGCAAACACCCTTCTAGATGTTTACCCAAAAAGAAATAGACACGGCCGTACAAAAACGTAGACATGAACACAGAGAAGCCTTATTCCTGAAACTGGAAACAGGGTTAATGCCCATCAGTTGATGAGTGGATAAATAACTAAACATGTATCTGTATGATGGAATACTGCTCAGCAATAAAAAAAACTCATCTACTGATACATCCAGTAACATGAAGGAATCTCAAACTAGTGCTAAGAGAAAAAAGCTGAATTGGAAAGACTTCACACTTTGCCGGGGGGGGGGGGTTGGTAGTACTACAGGCTGAACCCAGGGTAGTCACACTGAGCTACATCCCCAGCCCTTTTTTTATTTTTTATTTTGAGACAGGATCTTAGTAAGTTGCCCAGGTCGATCCTCCTGCCTCAGCCTCCCAGCGGGCTGAGATTACAGGCATGTACTACCTTGCTTAGTATACTTGTTGATTCTCTCATAGGACATTCTGAAAAAGGCAAAACTAGACATAATAGTTGCCAGGAAATGATAGTGAGGAGAGGATTAGCAACAAAGGATCAGGAAGATATTTGGGAGGATGTTGAAAATGTTACATATCTTGGTCATGGTGGTGGTTACATGATGGCAGGCATTTGTCAAAATGTGTAGAACAGTATGCCTAAAAGGGTGAATTTTACTATGTATAACTAATACCTCAATAAACCTGACTTTCCAGTTTCCAGTTCTGCATGTATGGAGCTTGGAAGTGGCTACTCTAACCTAACCAATAAAAAGCTGAACGGAATGAAAAATCAACAATTCTTCTTAGAGCAAAAAGAGGGGAGGACACAGGCCAAATCACTTCTTCCAAGATTGGAGAGCCTGAGGGTTTAAGGAGCTAGGGAAAGGGAATTCCCAATCCTTGTCATCTCTAGCCCTCCATGTGGAAAAAGAGAAATATCCAACCTCTCTAGCTGTCCTGCCCCACATAAAGGGGGTAGAAAAAGTTAGGAGTTAAACTAGAAAAGTAACTGGGAAATCCTCAAATTTGTGGAG